ATTTTAAACCCATTCCACACTCTTGCAAAATTATAAACAATGTTTCTAAACTCTAAACGTTCTAAAAGAGCACAGCATGTCATGATCTCCACTCTCTCTGCCACCTGCCAATGATCTCAGCCATGCCCATATCTCTGCTGCAGAGCAGAGGTCACATACTGCAGGAGGGAGCTTCTCTCTGCACACGCGGGTTGCACACAGGTGCAGCAGGTGCTAAATAATTTAAAATAATTTATTTTAAATAAAAATTACATGCCAATCTTGCGGCTCATCCATCAATCAGCCAATTGTGTGTCATGTCCAATCTTACTTTGAAAAACTGCAAAAAAGAGGGAGTACGCAAAAGTCAAATCGCAAAGTAGCTAGGGACTACTGTACATCCAATGATTCATTGGATCATCAAAAGGTACAGCACAGGTTGAACAACTGGGAGATAAAGTTAGAGAAACCAGACTGAGATGGTTTGGACATGTCCAGAGGAGGGACAGTGGGTATACTGGTAGAAGGATGTTAGAAATGCAGCTGCCAGGAAAAAGACAAAGAGGAGATGCAGTTAGAGAGGACATGGAGGTAGTTGGAGTGAGGACAGAGTGAGATGGAGGGGGATGACTTGCTGTGGTGAGCCCTGAAGAGGGAAAAGCCAAAAGAAGAAGAATGGTAAATAGACTTTACTTATATAGCACCTTTTTATCTTGTCAAAATACTCAGTGTTTTACACTACAATATGTGCCTCGTTTATCTATTCATACAGCACTCTACTATATGTATACAAAGAATAATCAGAGCTTTATCACATTCATACATCTATGGGACACACATCGGAGGCAATGAGGGGTTCAGTGTCTTGCCCAGGGACACTTCAGCATGCGACTGCTGGTGGAATTGAACCCCCAACTCTTGCATTGGAGGACGACTGCTCTAACCACTCAGCCACAGCCGCCCTTCTTCTTCTTCTGATTAGTTTCTGCAAGTTTCATTAAAAATTGTCCACTGGTTTAGAACATTATTGTGGGAGACACAAGAAGAAACTCCTTTACAAACTTGGTGCAAAAACATTTTTACCATCTTTTAGCTTTTGATAGCAAGCCATAACAAAGACAGTTCTTAATTAAAATAAAGTTAAAAAATGAAATTGTATTTTGTTCATGAATGGAAACTTTTTGCACCAAAATGGACGCAATAAGGTTTTTTCTGCCCTCCAATCATTCCTTGGCTCCATCTCCCCAACACACACACGTACACACACACACACACACGCACCCATACACTTGCTCCCTGAGGAGACACAGTGTTCGGACTCCATCCATGATTGCTAGAAAGGATGCACCCATCCTCCACAAATTTTAAACCCTCATCAGAAAGACAGACGGCAACTGGACACACAGTTTGACAGAGAGACGGATGAAAAGAGGCCAAGATCAACACCCCCTCCACACTCTCCCCCATCCTCGCCCCACATCTGCACGCAGGTGCAGCGATGGGGATAAGGAAGAAATGAAAAGGGAGGGATGAACAAATGAGAGGAAACTAAAAAAAAAAAAAAGGAAGGATGGCTTTCATAAGACAAAACCTGCTGCCCTGTCTGTGAGTGACAGCTTGTCACCGTGACGTCTTCTTTCTGCCTCTGTCACACTGGGCTGACATACAAACACACAAATGAATCAGAGCTGGCACAGCCTTATGACTCACTGTCATCTTTGCAGCGTGTCACACTTTATCGCTGCTGAATCCCAGAACACACAAACACACACAGGATCTGCCCTGCAGCCCTTAAATTCAGGGGACATTTGATCAAATGATTGTGAATGCTCAAACGCAACACTTTTGTGAGCACTTCTCCCTCGCATTACCCCCTCAGTCATGATCGCTGTCGACTAAAAGAAGCAGAAAACCCCTGCTCTGTGCTCATCCTTCACTTCAGTGCAGCTTAGCTCACTTCCTATCCAGGTTGTGTCCTTTACAGCAGTGGATCAGAGTGGGTAGGAGAGGCGTGTTATGTCTGCACATGAAGGTGGGTGGAGAAGTGGCACCACTTCAATGGAGGTCACCATGTCCTCCTTTCCTAATCCACCCATCTTTGTGGCCACCTCAGTCCCATTAAGAGCCATTAGTGTGTGTGCTCCTTTGCCATCATAATGCATAAATCTCTTTCTTTCTTTCCTCCCTTTCTCTGCCCTTCTTTAGTTCTGGGGAGGACTAATTAAAGATGAAAGAAAGGTTAGTGGGCAGTTGTCTAAAAAGTGAGAGTATTACACCATGCCAGTTACTGTAAATCCATGCTGTAAGATGAATTTAAACTAAATAGGTGTGCATGCGAGAGACCCCCCCCCCCCACACACACACACACACACACACATGTACATAGTGTGTTTGCACACACACAAAGTCATCATCGAGCTGAAGAGCCAGAATGAGATGGATATTAATGAGCTCGGTGCAGCATCACATCCCAGCACTCAGGTGTCTGTCGTCGGTTTTCATCAATGGCCTCAGATTGAAATGGGGAAAAATAACAGCTGCCAAATTCAGCGCAGTGACCTCATCGTGACCACATGAGCTTTGTATAGTTGTGATGTCTGGGTGTGATAAAGTGATGAGGACATTTCTAGCATGGAAAATAATAATTCTACCATCAAAAGTGAATGAAACTAGCATTCTTCGGAGGAATTCATGTCACTCGTCAGCTCGTCAGAAATTTAAACTAAGGTCTCACGTGATCTTTTAGTGCTCAAAGTACCAGCTGGGAATGACTCGCAGCCACTACACCAAATTTGAGCTCAGTATTTGTAAAAATAACGGGGTTGTAGCTAATTTTGTGTTTGCTAAGACTGATTATCTATGGTGGCCATCTTGAATCAAGTTGAATCCATAAGACAATCATTTGTAGACGTACTAGTTAATATTCCCTGCTAACAGACAAAAACATACACACAAAGGTATTACACTATCATCCACTGTCACAAACAGACATTAGGCAATAGCCTAATAACAAAACAAATAATATAAATTCGAGTTATTAAGCATGCATGCACTTTTCAATCCTCGCTACCTCAAATGAATCCTGTCAGTGTGTTTTCATGATGAGACGTTTAGCCGTCTTCTCTCTCGTCATTGTCATTTGTAAAACTATCTGCTCTTTAAACTGTGATAATTAAAGAGTATTGCGTTTTCTCCACAGGCACATTCTATCCCATGAGAGAGCCACTGTTTTTGGGACGTGTCTGCAGGACAGTGCTTGCTTATAGAGGATGCTTTGTGTAGCACGGCTGATTTCCAGCTGATAACATCAGCCTGTAAAATTGTGTCCACACGCCATGCACACACACACTGGATTACACGCGTGCACAGATTAGCAGGCTTTCAGCAGCACTGCTATATATTAGTGGTGGTACTTGGTCTCTTTGATAAGGTACACCTTTATTAAATTCTCCAACTGAAAGACTGCCGGTCTCGGGAAAAGGAATATGTTAATAGGTAGAGACCATTCAAGTCTTCAAACTGACCTCGCCGTGCCCCTCCATCTGCAAACCCCCTACTTTCTTCCCCCTTCTCGCTCGCTCTTTCCATCCCTTCATCTAAAAAGGAAGGCCACAGCAGAGACAGACAAAGAGGCCGAGGTTGCAGGGAGAGTGGGACAGAAATGGGGAGTGGAGTGGGAAGCTGGAAAAGAGGAAGGTGAGGGAAGTAAAATGTGTCGCCTTCAGCAGAGCAGAAAAACGAGGGGTTCGCGTGAGTTGTGAGAGAGGTGAAATAGCTTTTTCTTTTCATTTTACACGCCTTCCCTTCCCGGTGCAACCCTCACCCTTTACCTCTCGCCCCCTATTACACACATTCACTCAGATGCACGTTCATGCACTCGTTCCCTCTGCCCTTGTTTCGCCAACTGCCAGGAGAGAGACAGCTAGGCTCTGCCTCAGTCTTTGAGCTCCCCCTTCTGATACGAGGAGAATTCTGCAGCTCGGTGAGAAGCGGTCGACCTCCTGTGGCTAGCCAGCGAGGCTTCTCCACGGTTATGTAGGTCGCTGCTCTGATGTGTGGCCACAGGAGCTCAGTAAGGTGTAAACATCATGTCCAATAGTGTCACAAATACAGCTATGTGAACACACACATGCAGACACATACAAGCAGGTGCTACTGACATGCTCACATGTTTCAGCAGTGCAACACCTAAAGTCTCAAGGTGGGGGCTACATATGGAACTAGAATCTATTGATGTGTGAGCTGGGTGGTCTTTCTAGCAAGGATGAGTAAGGTGAGCTAGGATAAGAGAAAAGTGTGAAAACACTGTAAGTGGAGGGTTTCTGAAGCAGATAGGACCTAAAAGGGTATGCCATCTTATTGTCTGATCTTCCTCAAACCAAGCAAGCTCAAAGGCAAATGGCTAACAAGCCAATTTACATTCAAATAGCTGTGCCTGATTCATTCATGTACGACTCACAAGAATCCACATCAAAAATGTGTTATTTTTTTCCTGTGAACAAAAACATTCACACAACTTTAATACAGTGCTGAAAACACACAAGCCCAGCTGTAACAAAGCAACTCACATATCTCTGCGTGATCTGGTGTCTCTCTTGCGGATCATCCAGCATGTTGACTGACAGGTCTGAGATAGAAACGGCGGCGGAGGCAGTGAGGGTGACCAGAAGCACCAGAACTCCCTCCCCTTCCTCCAGCGGCATGTCCAACTTGTGTGTGTGTTCTTTACTAAGAAGCGACAAGTCGATGGTACACCTAAAAAAAAGCATTAACACAAACGCACAAAAACTATCTGCAAACTGTTCTGAAACACAGACTCTACAAACTGTACAACGGCAGCAATTTTGGGCTAACAATAAAAAATAAAAAAAAATCCATGGTTGGCATTCTCACAGAATGTCTGCAAAGATGTTACATGTGTAGGAAACTTTTTTTCTTTCTTTAGAAATGATGTGTGTTTGTTTCTGTTTATTGGTCTCATTAGGAACTTGTTATAAATCACCTGCTGTGCAGGAGCAGAAAAACAGCAACACTCTAAAAATAGTAAACAACAAGTAGCGAGCGATGTATGTAGGATGTAAGCAAGTGAAGACAACTTGGGCAAAGCTGACACACTTAGTACCTTTTAGTTGGTGCTTTAGGAGCATCTGCTCTTCACTGAATTGATTTCCTGACATGCTCTTAATTTGCCTACAGTTGAAACTACAGGTGGGTGGCACGGTGGCTCAGCTGGTAGAGCTGTTGCCTCTCCACAACAAGGTCACCAGATTGAATTATTAATTATTATCAAAGTATTAATTATTTATTAATAATTATTCTGATAATTGCATTCCTAATCTTATCCATGCTTGTCACTCTTAAGGAGAACCTCAACACCTTCATTTCTGCCACTTCCAGTTCTTTCTACTGTCTTTTTGTCCATGTCTCTGTCTCCAGACCATACAACATAGCTGGTCTCACCACTGTCTTGTAAACTTTTCCTTTGACCTTTGTTGACACCCTTTTGTCACAAATCACTCCTGAAACTTTTCTCCATCCACTCCATCCTGCCTGGACTCTCTTTTACACCTCTTTACCACATTGCATTTTCCTGGATTGTGGACCCCAAGTACTTGAAGTCCTGCATCTTTGTGACCTCTGCTCCTTGTAGCCTCACTGTTCCACCGGACTCCCTCTCATTCACACACTACAGCTGACTTTCATTCCTCTTCTTTCAAGTGCATACCTCCACCTCTCCAAGTTCTCTTCCACCTATTCCCTGTTCTCACCACAGATCACGTCATCTGCAAACATCATAGTCCACCGGGATTCTTGCCTGACCTCATCTGTCGGTCCATCACCAGAGCAAACAAGGGGCTCAGAGCCGATCCTTGATGCAATCCCACCTCCACCATGAAGCTATCTGTCACTCCTACAGCACATCTCACCACTGTCTTGCTGTCCTCATACATGTCCTGTACCAGTGTAACATACTTTTCGGCCACTCCAGATTTCCTCATGCAATACCACACCTCCTCCCTCGGCACCCTGTCTTATGCTTTTTCTAAATCCACAAAGACACAATGGAGTACTTTCTGACCCTCTCTGTACTTCTCCATCAGCATCCTCAAAGCAAAGATGGCATCTGTGGTGCTCTTTCTTGGCATGAAACCATACTGCTGCTCACAGATAGTCACCTCTTGTTTAAATCTAGCTTCCACAATTCTCTCCCAGATCTTCACTGTGTGGCTCATCAACATAATTCCCCTTCACCCTTGTTCTTAAAAATGGCCGCCAGCACACTTCTCCTCCATTCCTCGGGCATGTTCTCACCCTCAAATATGCCATTGAGTATTTGAGTCAAAAACCTCACTAACATTTCCAGACCTCCACTGGTCATCAGGTCCTACTGCCTTCCCCTTCTTCTTTCTTTTCAGAGCTTTCTGGATTTCACCCTCACTAATCTTTCCAACTTCCTGGTCCATACTTTCTTTGACCACTAGTCTTCTTTCTCTTTCTTTCTCTTCATTCATTAGCTTCTCAAAGTACTCCTTACATCTTCCCATCACCCTAGTATCACTTGTTAAAACATTACCATGCCTATCTTTATCAAGCATAACCTGTTGCACATCCTTTCCAGCCTGATCCCTCTGTCTCGCCAATCGGTACAAGTCCTTCTTGCCCTCTTTAGTGTCCAGCCTCCCATACAACTCATCATATGATAAATAAAGATAATATATATATATATATATATATATATATATGACAATATATATATATATATATATATATATATAAAGAAATACTGTAAATAAGAAATGGTGCAACTTCTTAAATTAGTCATTTCAAATCTTTACTATGCTCCATTGTGAAAACAATGAGTTTATGAGATTTACAAATCCTTACAATTATGATTACCAGTATATTTACAGTTTACACAATGTCTGAACTTTTTGGAACTGGGGATACAATTTTATTTGAATAAACAAAAAAAAAAAAAAAAAAAGAAAAAGAAAATTATTGCACCTTCCCATGAAGTCATCCTTCTTGCCAGCATCTCTGTCCCAGACTGTGATATCCACAAAGCCTCCTTGCTCATCATACAAGTGGAAATCAAACTGTTCTCTCCACTGGGGGGTCAGTGTTTTAGGAATTGTCTGAAAAAAAAAAAGCTAAGGTAGTACATAATTTACCCCTTAGGCCCACTTTTTTATATATAACCAAGTTATAAACTATACATTCATACAACTAAAATACAAATACGGTAATTGACATTTGATTCAGACGATTTTGTAGCACAATAATAATTTTTCCCCCAAACACACACTGAAAGGCGACACCTTTATTACTGTATAAGGAGGCAAAAATGAATTCATGAGACAGGTAAATTAGAATAAGAAGTGTTAGAGTGATAAGAAAGCCATTTATTACAGACTGAATGTACAAGTAAAAACAGAGGAGGAGGATATCTATCTGTAAAGAGACACATGCTCCTACAAACATGATGGATGTTTCACTCCTTTTCAATTGAGCAATATTTTAAAAGCATAATTCTAAATATAAGTTTTCAAGAAGAGTGGTAGAAAATGTGTAGGCTTGAAGTGGAAATTATTCAAATCTGACAATGAGTGAGCATGGTTCAGCAGTCACATGATATGTTCCCAGGTTACCTTGCTCTTGTACTTCTGGTGACCCATCCTAAATTTGACATATGGGTCGCTGAGGCCATTGGCATCCATGGGCTGCAGGCCGCGACCTTCGATTAGACTGATGCTGACGATTCCTCGCCACAGCTGCGCTTTTCTGTGCACATCTGAGAGACGCATGCTCTGATACTGCAGCAAACACACACACAGAGAATCGTTTTCACCAACGACTGGATGTCCATGAGTGCACAAACAAGAAAACAAGACGCTTTTACTAAACCCAAAGCATAAATTTGGCTTGATGACATTTGAGTAAAATGCTTCAAGACAACACAGAGGCAGGCAAAACACAAAGGAAAACAACTGAACACAAACTTATCTGACATGTTGGGACATAATTATCAATTATGGCACAGCTTTCTAGCACCATAAAGGTGTGTGATCACGTGTTAATGTGTTTGTCCATCTGATTTTATTGAAAAACTCAGAAAGTAATCACTACATATACATTTAAAGCTGATTAACTTTTAGAGTCAAACAATTTCAAGATGCCCACCACAGCTAATTGATCTTAGCCAACACTAAAATGGCTACACAACTTAATAAATAAATCTTATTTATTGAGCTAAAAAAAATGGTGTCACCAGCATCACATACTCCAAACACGCAAAGATGATGCAAGAGCTTGAGGGAAAACATGTTGGCAGCTGATATTTATTCTATCAACATTTTCTCCAAACTCTGACCCGCTGTATTTTTAGGAAATACCGAGAAGTATCTTCATTTTGTTCACAAGACATCGATCAGTCTGTTTGCTGTACTACATTTAATTATTAGGAAAAAAATCAAGCTTTATATGCTTTCATCTCCAAAACTGTTAGCTGCTTTAGAGCATACTGTTTTCCATCTGTCTGTCTTGTTTTTTTGAAAAGTCTGCAAACTCAAATTCAACAGTTTATGAATCCAGTGTCTCCCGAGCACTTAAAGGCCTATTTAACCTGTCTTTGAGTCAGGTCAGCATCCTTTACTACCACTAAAACCATGGTATTTATTTGTCGAACAACTACAAATCCTCCCTCCATCTCTCATTTCTCTGCCTCTCCTCCTTCCTTGTTAGGCAGAGTGTATTAGCATAGCTTTTGTTTTGCGGGTGCATTTCATTAAACTCTGAACAAACCCTGCCTCGCCTTTGATCTGGAGACAGAGCTTCTTAATTTCCATTTTCCAGACATTAAACAATGCGAACAGCTCCCTGCAATGGAGCCAACTTCTCTTACAGTCTCCCGTTCACTTAATATGCTAATGATGAGAGGTTGCAGCGCTTGTTTTTATTGCTACATATGTTTAGTTACAGAGAAAGACTGTGAATTTGAATTTGGACTAAGATTTTGTCTTTTCATGAATCAGGGCACAGCAGAACAGGCAATATGATCGATCGTGTTCAGATTCTGAAAGGCTTACAAAAAAAAAAAAAAAAAGCATGGGAACGTCTGAGTTTGAGCCATTTCTTTTGTCACAGGTGGAGAGGCCCAGTTTGGAAGCTTCTAAAATGTTTCTAAAATGTGCTGATGGATGGATGAAACTACTAAATGTTGGATGCGGGAACGTTTAGTTCTTTATGTGCAGCTCAAGATAAAAGTTAAAAAGTGAGTTTTAAGATTCAGCTCCAGTTTATTTAGAAAACTGTTCAAAGAAACTGTCTTCAAAATGATATTACTGTATTACGGTGAAAAAAAAAGACCAGCTAGAGCCTTCATGCAGTGACAAAGAAGAGGCAAACTCTCAATCAGCATGCGCCCATTTCAACCAGACAGAGAACAAAAGTAAAAAAAAAAAAAGATATATAAAGAATAAATAAACACTATTTTTTTCAAATTTGACAATATGAAAAACTTAACTGATGGAAATAATGGTGCACAATTAATGAAACACGGGTCAAATCTGAACGAGCGTTTATCCACAATCTTGTAAAAAAGAAACAGCAGTAAATGCAAATCCTCTGCTTGGCTTATTTTTACACATCGTTTGAGTACGGATCAAAGGTGGAAGAAGCACAACTATATGATTGTTTTGGACCAGGAGTTGAACCATAACTCTGCTTGATTTGGGCACCTGAAATGGAAAAAGGCTTGCTGCCAAACACATATTGAAAATTTACAACTCCATTAACGCAGTGGGCCCCAAACCTTTCAGCTTTTCACCCAGAAACTAACAAAAATCTTACAACCTCGATTACCGATGGTCGAAGGCCGACACAGAGTCAACACAAATTCTACAACCATTAACTGTATCCATTTATGACAACTTTTCAAATAGTTACAAATACAGCACAAAATGTGCCATTAGCAGTATTTTTTATGTTATTCTGATGTCTGGGGATCATTTTAAGACCCTCGCACTCAGTGTTTCATGACCCACAGTGGGGTCCTGACCTTAACGATCAGCTATTGGCTCAATTTTTAGTTTGTCTTTGTTTTATGGATCAACGTGAGGACACATGCACAGACAAAGGTCAGTGATTTTTCAATAAAAACACGAACTGTGCTTCAAATATGATCCAAAACCCTGTGATATTCTGTACTGTGATAATAGCAACAGCTGTAATGAACTGCTTCCACCTTTGATGAGCACCTAATATATGATTTAATACCAAGGTTCTTTTTAGGTTGTATTGAACTCCAAAAAAAAAAAGAAAGAAAAAGGGTCCATGCCTTCCGCTCGTGCAAAAAACAGCTTGTGGAAAACAAGATGGTGACAATGAGAATTGAAGAAAGCAAAACGCAGGGAGTGAAGGAACATGGAAGAGATAGGGGCCAGGCGAGACTCCATCCATGTACACCAGTGAAGGATAGGCGAGGTGCAGTGCAGTCGGTATGTGGAGTTACAGCAGAGTCAGAAGGTTGATGAGTTACATGCCGTTTTAGTTTACCTTACTGGATCGTTTCCAGTTTCTGCCCAAAAGCATGGTCTGCGAACGAGACAAAGCGGTTACAGAGCGCCTCCCACCGTCTCGTCTTAAAGCTGAAGGGCCAAAAGGTGAGAGGTCATGTCGTGTGAAGTTCAGATAATAAGCCCCGATGCTGGTGAGGGGAGGGGGAGTTAGATGAGGTAAGTGTGGCACCATGCAAGTTAACTAAGCAGGGAGTGTAACAGCACCGTGACTTATCGTGAGGTGTTTTGTTAGTGTTATATAACCACATGCAAAGACATATTCATGTATAAACATACAGAACGCAGCACATCAAGTGCTTTTCTCACAGTATACCCATGTTTTATATTAATCTAAAACCGTTAACTACCCTTAGCTAAAAACCTACAAACACAAAATAGATAATTTTCTGCTCTTTACAGCTTTGGATTAATAGTTTACTTCTTAATTTCAGTGACCGATTATGAAAATCTGCTGTGGAAAGTTATCAATCATCAAACTTTACTGTTTATATGAGCAACAATATTCAGTCACTAACAACCCTGACTATCCCACAAACAGAAAGTCTGTGCAACAGTTTATTAAAACTTGCAAGCAAAAGCTAAAATACACAGTATGAGCATTTTAAATAAATTAAGTCTAACCAGCTTCAAACTCAATGCGTGTTGGGACCACCTTTATTTTTTAAGCCAACCCATAAAATGGGAAGATACAAGAATTCAACTGAGCTATTTTTTTTTTTTTTTTTTGGCAGCTAATGTCATAAAAAAAATGGGAAATCCTTACTGCTAAATCCGCCTTTAAAACACAAGAATTCTGTTTTTATTAAAGCGAAATTATAAAGAAAACATGAGTAACTAAATATTTAACAGTTTAATGTAAAAATACTATTTCCAAATATACAGAACTCTCTGTCATTAATTAAAACAACTCATATCAACAAAAATCCAAATTTTTCCACCTATAGATTTGGAAAAATCCGCTTGTTTCTCTTCTCCACCACTAGATGGCAGCAGACAGCAGTCTAGTTTAACCTTGTGCTTGTTCTCTGCACAGTTGGAGAAATCCAAAATGATGCTTAACCCAAATAAAGTTTATTTGTTCTGTCAATTGTAGGTTTTCTGAACTAAAACAGCAACATAGTTAAGACATCAGATCAAAAGGAATAAAATATGTCCCTCATGGCTCTGCCATGTTCTGAGCACAACGTGCAGGAGTCCAATTAGCCAAAACAAATAATTGACGAGAAATAAATGTAACTTTCAAACAGCCAGGGTTTTCACAGAGGCGCAATGCAACATAATTAGGAATGAAGATCAGTTGCTCTTTGAACTACTTTTCCACACAGCATAATTAAACTTGTGTTTTTGCATTTGGATCTGCTGACTTGTACAGTTTCCAGCAACTGAGGCTGAGCAGAGCCAGCACATTCCAGTTCACCGCTGCTTATATGTTCCTCTGATGTGTGAAGACGCTACAGCTAAAATCACTGCAGCTGAATTTGATACAACTTATTTAAACGTTATTTAAATTTTCGGTTTTGTTTGGTTCACTGCTATGAAGGTGCTAAGTTACAGTGAGATACAGAACTCCAGAAAACAAGGAGGGCCTCTACTCTTCATGAGACAAGAAAGATAAACGCGCAGTTCTGAGTATTTTCAAGTAAATTTCTTACAGCGTCTTTTACGTCTCCCTCTTTCGGTGTCAGAGTAACAGCAAATTCCAGGCTGCCCAGGTTCTGTTCAGGATACTGTGGGTCCTTCAGGTCCAGCGTCACATCCAGTGTCCTACAGGGATGCAAAGTCATCATGGTCACATAAAAAACTATCATTTGAACCATGTCAACCAGAGTTCTGCATGTTCCTGTGCACATACCTCACACTACTGTCCTAATACTTTAAATCACCTCTAGTTTTTATTCTTAGCTTTAAACGAGTCAGAATTACTTGTAAAATTCTTAAAATGCTCTTTATGTTATCAGATGTTCTGAAGGTCTTGCAACATTTTTCTTCAGATTTTGGCTGCTTTTCCAGTCTAGTTCTTGTACCTATAGTGTGAGATTAAAAATGAGGAAAGTGGACAAGTGTCCACAAACTCAAACTGAAACATGCACTACATGAGCTACTTGAATACATTCAGCCTAATATTATGGTCAAAGTCTGCATTTTGTTCATGTTTTGGTAAATGAAGAGTGAGGTGGGTAACCCTGCACACCTGTATCCTATCTGTACAGATAGAAGACAATAAAACTCGTATGAGCTGAGCTTGCTGCAAGATGGAAATTTTCTCTTTTAAAGACAAAAAGCAGAAAACGAGTTCACTTTGCTTTAATTAAACAATGCAATGTGAAAAGACACTGCAAGTCAAATCACGCCCCTTTTTTCCTGCAAGTTTTCCAGAAAAACCAGGTGAAGGTGAAGTAAAGAACAAGGGCGACTCACTTCTTTGCACCAGGTTCAAATAGCAACAGGACACTTCTGCAACAAAGTAGAGCAATCGTTCCACCAGCAAGGAGCTTCTATCTTCACCAAACGAGAGGTTTCTGAGGCTGGAACTGTGACAGACAGCATGTTTGCTGTCCTTGTTAAGTTATGATAAACAAACTAAAATAAAACTTAAAATTGTTGCTTGTTAGCCTAAACCCCTCAGACGTGATCCACTTGCCCTGATGTATTGTATGCCAAGTTTTCAGCTGACAGCTGTTTGGAAGTCATCTTGTTGGTGTTAAAATACTATCTCATGTGTCAAATTGTGTTACTTTGTTTAAATTTAATAGATTCAAAAAGATGAAAATAAAGTGTGTCTATGTAACAGGCTGTTGGTAACAGATTTACCTTAAGATATTTTTCACAACCATTTAAACTGTAAATTATAGATAAGAGTTGAGTGGCTTAAATAAAAATATACATATATTTTTTAAATGGTAAGGTACTGTGCAGAAAATGAGTAAAAATAAAATCGGAAAACCTTTAGAAAAAAAAAACTAAATCACTGCAGAGGGCCATTTGAAAAGGTTACGAGGAAGTCTCATTGTTTGAAAGCAAAATGTAAAGATAGAAAGGGATGACAAGATTTGTGGTCTGTCACTGAAAAATAAATGTTCTTTCTGCAAGTAGGTGTAGAAACATTTTTCACAATGATCCACCACATAATGAAAACCGATCAAATAAAGTTCACAAAATCCAGTTTAATCCAATGTCTCTGTGGCTGTGAGCTGTAAAACATCTCCACTTGGAGCTGACATGTCATGGCTCAAAAGTCTCTTGTTTTGAGGTTGAGCCAATCATTACGTACCTGTGACATCACCTGATGTCCCTTGTTATAACAGCATGTGCCACAAACAGGACATTCTGATTATAGTCAGGGAAGCCTGAATAAAAAAGAGGCCTTTAACTGTGACAACAAATCCCCATCAGTGAAATTTATTTTGATTCTACTGTCTTTCATTTCTTTTTATTATGTTTTTCATTTCTACATTAAATATGACAAACAGCAAGGAAAGACTAGAGAACTTAATAATGGATGAGTTGCATTTTGGTTACTTGAACTTTTGAAGCGTTAAAAGAAACTTCTACATTCTGCCACTAGAGGGCAGCCACGGACAGGTTTTGGTCACTGTATTAGGATTATAAAGATGGTGTTTGGTAAATGGTGCAACAAGAAAACTGCTGATCTTAGAGCAGAGTGTGCCACTCCCAGCATCACTGCTTCGTGGTTTAAATCTTAGCACATCAACTTCTCTAAACATCTCCATCACTGACGAAATGGAGCATGCAGGACAGTTTCTTTCATACAATCATCTGAGACAGAAATAATTGGAACGGTTTGGGTGAAAAGAGAGCCAAACACTCAGGATGTTTTAGTGGAAAGGAATTAAAAAAATTAAAATAAAAAGACACCTCTGATGTTCCAGAGACTCCAGATGGAGATAGGCTGAGCCCATGAAGTCATCCTGCAGTCCAAAGTCATAGTCAAACACCTAAAGGAGACAAGAAAAGGTCAGGGGAGAACAACAAACACCCCACCACACTTTTCCCTCAGCCTTTGTCTAGAAATGGAGCTCGTCTTCAGAAGGGTTTCATATTTGTATAAAACATAGGATAAAGAAATGTTTGGACATCCTTGCTCAGCATTTATAACTAGTGTGCTGTTAGAAGATGATTAATGTGTTTCTAAAGGGCTCGAAGTTTTTATAAGATTTTAATAAGAAACATCTGGAGGTGGATTTTCCAAAACTTGGTGATATAAAAAATTATCTTCCAAGAATAATCCAATGTGGCTTGTTCCAGGGAAAATACATCTCAAAACTTTAATCCATTTAATATAGTTTATTTATACAGCACCAATTCACAATAAAAGTCATCCCAGGGCATTGTTCAAAAGAATAGCGTACTTTAAATCCAATGAAGGTACCATTTTCTCAGTTTTTAAAATGATAAAGTAACAACAGAGCTCAGTTCGAGGTCTGAACATGCTGACTGATGACCGACTGAGGAATAAAAAAGTAGATGAAAGCCCTTGTTAGACTTGACAACCCTTCGATCTAACAGACACTGACTAATGCAGCAGTTTTCTACAGTAACACCCGCACAACAACTTCTGTGCACGATAAAGGTGGTTCTGACATTTCTTGGCAGAACTGAACCAAGATAAGTTCAGAGAAACATTTAAGTAACATCATACTAAAGTAAGTTGTGCGTTTCTGTAGTTTGGAGAATATTATAGTACAGATTTTTTTCTTGTAGCTTGTCTTGGAAGGTGTAAATATTATTAATTCAAACCTCTACACAGGAATCAAATGACAGCAAATGTAAGATTGGCTGCAAATAATTCAAAAGTAAATTCTGATGAAGACTTTTAGCTTGTGACACTTGCCAAATGAGAAAAAATATATACATTTCTTGCTATATAGGTGTTGCTTTGGGTCAGTTTTAGGCTAAAAAATTATAGAAACGTAAAGTTAAATTAAACATGTGTACGGCAGTTGTGTTATTTTGAAAAATCGACTGTACCTTGACATAAAGTGGGTCTTTTAGAGTTTCCACCAGGAGGCTCACTCTCTCATCCCACACTGGATTCAGGTTTTTATGGATGGTTTTGCTTCTGAACACCTCTTTCCCTGCGATTTTAAACTTCACATATGGGTCACTGGTCCCTAGAGAAAGAGGATCAAATAACAGGGACCTCTGTTAGCTAAAACTAAAAACACCACTGAAATTATAATATATAGCTCATATAGGTTCATGCATTGGGAAAGAAATGTACTGAAGAGGTGAGTGACAAACATAAAAATCAATGAAATTCACTGTTTCTTTTAATCATTTGGATTAGACAAGGTTTAATCATAAACATTGCCTGAGTGCTTTTAAGATGAATAATCAGATTTTTTTTCTTCTTAAATAAACATATAAAAAGAAGTGATGTTTTATTATACAAAGTTTGTTTTCTCAGTCATCCAGGTATATAACCTCGAAGCCTCTTGGATGAGGGGCGAAACGTTTCTTTTTAACAAAAAAAAACAAAGTCCAGATGACATGATTCAACCTTTTTTGTTGTTATATACCTGGATGACTGAGAAAACAAACTTTGTGTTTTTGAAACCATTAGTGAAAAGGCCAGACTTCAGGGGTATCTGAGGCAGGCTTGAAACACAAGAGTCAGGGCGGCTTCTGGGTAATACCAGATGGCTAGGCCTCAGACTGACGAAGCCTCTTGGATGAGGGGCGAAACGTTTCTTTTTAACAAAAAAAACAAAGTCCAGATGACATGATTCAACCTTTTTTGATGTTTTATTATGTAATTAACTTCTTTCTTGCAATGTCGTTATTTGACCACTAGATGGGGGAATTGATCTAAAGTTAAAAAAAAACAAGTCATCTTTCTTAAGTTCATGAAAGTACATCCACATTTTATTAAGTTGATAATCATAGAATGCATTAAGAAGAAGTATACATTAACATGATATATTCAAAAGAGAAAATAATATTTCATAATGATTTTTTTAAATTATTGTATTCTTTTTTTTTTTTTTTTAATCTCTGTCTGTAGCCCACTGCCAGTTACATAACAAAACAGAGGAAATAAATACAGTTTACATTTTACCAACTATGATCTGATCTGTTTTCTGTTGGGCTGCAGAGATAGTGGACTGAAAATAGGTTTAGGTTAATAAAAGTCTCAGTGTTGCACAAATCTCATCAGCTCATTATAGCTTCTCGTTAGCCATAAAATGGCAGAGAGTATCTTACTCCCACATACTCACTTTATTGGTGCTTATTAACGTCAGTTAAAAAAAAACAGCGATGCTCAAATAAGAGCTCTGTATAATTCAAAAACAAATAAATAAATAAAATTGGGGCATCATTATATTATGTGTCTGTCAAAAACAATAGAAAAATGAAAGGCTGCCATAAAGGATTGATGCAAGAATATTTTTTTATGCGTAAAACAAGCATTATTAAACAAAAACAGGAACTTAACCTTGATTTATATTTGCTTATTTTCAGCTGCCAGCAAGCTGTGATGTGAAAGAAGAAGAGAAAAATGCTAACAGTGTAGATTTCATTCTATATATAGAATTTCTATATTCATTCTTGTTTTTTGTGTGTTTTTGTTACATCAAAAACTCACACGCTTGAAGAAACATACAACTAAAACTTAAGAACGAGAATGCTCGTTCTTAAACAGGATATAACTATTTGGGCAAATATTTCAGAAACTAAAAAAAAAAAAAAAAAAAAACACACCTAGCATTCTATTGCCCACTAATGCCAGAGTTTTAGTCTAAAACCATTATATCTTTAAAAAGTATGGTTTTCATTGATCAAACCTTGAAGATAACGTTTTCTCAAATCGCATGTATTTCAGTTGTGTGTTGAGCTCAGAGCATGTGATGTGAAGAAGTCTCAGTTACTACAAATCTAAAACTAAGTTATAGAGTCAGATGTTCTTTATTGTAATTCTCATCACATGTGGTACATGTAGACATGTTTGTGTTGTCCAATGTTGACTAGCTCTGGCGTTCATCTTAAACGGATCTAATCCAGGTAATCAGTTGTAGATGTACATGCATTTATAAGAATTTTATTGAAATCCATACAATTGCTCAAGAGATATTTTGCTAACAGACTAACGGAATTGCCTCCAATAGTTTCAGCAAAGGTAATGAGTAGCACTTTGTGTTTGCATTGTAAACAACTCTCTTCAACAAACAATCTGAATTTTAGCACAATATGTGTAAAACTGGCAACATTCGAGCCATGTTGGTGCATTTCATGGTCTTTTGACTGTGGCAGCCATCTTAAATCAGGGTGACTCCAAAAAGTTAATCTTTTGTAGCAGTGCATTCAGTTGAATTAAAATCCATCCAGTGGTTCAGGAGATATTTTGGTAACAGACATACGCACGAGCACACAACAAATACGGGCAAAAGCGTTATCATCCACTTTCGGCAGGAGGCAATAAAAGCTGGTTCCAAACCACATTATAGGCAGAATGAGCTTTCCTTCAAAACAACAGGAAGTCTTTTTCTATAACTTGCTGTCTTTCCGAGCCTCAGCGGGTCAATATTCCCCAGGCACACATCTCTGACTCAGAGTCTCTGCATCCCACAGTGCCAGCTTTATGGGGCCATAACACAGACAGGCTGAAGAGTCTGAAATGGAAAACGCTGCTGGTGTAGGAGGGTGATGGCTGAAAATGAGCCAATGTGGATTACAGTAGAGAGGGGAGACGGAGGAAGTGCCTTCAAAGAAATCACCCACCTCTGTACGTGACATGTCAGGTATTTTTAAAAGACTTAACACTTTTGAAAACTCCTGTACGACACAAGTGACGTACAGCTTGTACCAAATGAAGACTGCTGGGTGGATAGGTCAATAAGACATACACTGTAAGATCAATAAGGTCTACCAAAATGATTTAGCATTGACGTAAAATCCTAAAACCAGATGGAGTTCAGCACTGTGGGTTTAATGGATTGGTACACCCGGGGCATTTCTCTACCTTGAAGTCAGAAGACCATGAAATAGAAGTTCTGGGCATTGCAAGACTGGATATAAAGAGAGCACATGTCTCAGACAGATAGATTTAGAGGGTGTTGTAGGTGCTGATGTGCAGCCATGGAAATTATTTTTTGACTGTTGAGTGACGTTGGTGCCAATACAGCGCACAAACGAAGTAAAATAAATAAGATACATAAAGGGAAAAGGATGCAAGTAGGTTTAGGACTGGGGTGCCTGACATTTTCAGCATGCAAGCTACTTTTAAAATGACCAGGTCAAAATGATCTACCTGCTAAAAGGCCCCGTTTACATGAGAACAACCACTGGAAACGTTGTGTTTGTTCAAGGTTTATTGGGGATAATAAACAAAAAAAAAATTGCAGGTTTACACAAAAATGCTGTAGTTTCCATTTCAGTTGGGTTGCCAGATAAATTATGAACTACAGTACTGTGCCTTTAAAATGATAGTATTTTGACCTAAACTGTCATATGTGCGGAGTAAAGATATTTTGAGATGAGATGTGTGCGTGTTTGTTGAACATGTGCACAGAAAAGGAGGGGATAAATAAGACATTTTAAGTTGATCTGGCAACCCTGAGGCTCAGCTGCATTTATCGCACATGCAGCGTCTGCATGACAGTTACATCCAAACTGGTGAATACACTAACGTCTCTTTGGACCCCGGACTTTATTAGTTTTGCTCCTATATGCTGTAAAAGGGTGAGTAGCATAAAAAACACTCTGCTCTCATTTAATATAACTGTTGTTAGTGCAGAACAACTTTGGGCTGCAGCCACCTGTAGCGGGTGTGTGCGACTTCACACTTGCGGAGCATTTCACACCTCCGTGTGGAGGCTCACCCAAAAATCTCCACTCTGAGACCTGGATTCAGAAACTTGCAGTTTCAGAGGACGAGGGCTGTTGTCGTGTACATGAACGGGCAAACCGCAGCAGAAAAGCTACAGTTTCACAACATGGTGTAAACAGGGTCTGTGCTGCCCCGTATGTCAGTCAAGTGATACATTTCATAGTGAGGATGGATGATAGGCTGACGTCTATTTTTTTTAATGCCATGCGATCTACCCATGATGCCTTTGCAATCGACCTGCAGATTGCGATCAACGTATTGGGCACCCCCTGGAGCATTTGATTTAATAAACGCAGTATTCCAGAGCCTTGAACAAACCTGATAAGAACACAATAGTCATTTATTAACCCTCCTGTTATGTTCGTTTCTGAGGTAAAAATCACATTTTTTATGTTTGCTGAAAAAACCTACACACAAAAAAAAACAATAATTATCCTTGAAATTGATTTTTGTAAAAAAATTTTATATTACATTTAATTTTTTTTTTCAAAGGGTGATCTTTATAATTGAACTTGAGACACATATACTGTTCTGGGTCAAATTGACCCGCTCATTAAAATCAAGACAAATGAGTCATGAAGATTTGTATTGAAAGTAAACTTTATTCAGCCACTGTTTTTTGAACCAGAAATGAACAAAACAACAAAATAAGATCTTAGGAACACTAACACAGTGCATGTATGTCTGTGAATCTCCACAGCTCACAAGTAACATGTCATCATGTTGTGATGGTATACACCATGCAATGAATACAATCAGAAATACCACAAAAATGAATATATGTAAATTAACTAGATGCTTTAGTTTTGTCATCTACACAACACATGAAGGACATGTCATCAGACTGTGCTTTGTTCAAATAAATTTTGCACATTTCACACAAGTCATCCTCGTTTTGACCTCATTAGATGGCTTGCAAACCTGGCACCTCTTCCTCTTCTTTTTTCCTCAAGTAGCAACCTAGAAAGACAAATAAAATGGTTAATATATTTTTTGATGCTCCTAAGACACACATAACATGCACTCGCACAAACACACACTTTTACTTACCTCACACACTGATGTACTGGATGTAGTCCTCTCCTGGATCTCCTTTACTACAGCTGCAGTAGCTGGGGTCCTTGGCATATGCTGTCTTCGTTGTCTATGTGGTACCACAAGTGCCTTGCCCAGCTCTTCTAAGAAAATGCGCCTCTTGTACAGCTTTGACACATTCCACTCCGGAAAGATTTCCGTCCAAATGACAAATGTGTTGTATGCTGATACATCAATGATGTTGTAAAA